TGTGAGGTCATTTGTAACGTAATGTTGTAGAAAGTTACTTATTTCCTGCTTTGTTCCTTGACTGATATAAAGTCTCCATTCTGTAACTCAGTGGTTTGGGCTAATTTGATTTAAAATGCAATGAAAATAAAAGGATAGTGTACTTAATGTTTGGCATTAACTTACCTGGAGCTCAGGCCATAAGGCCAAAGCTGACAAACCCCCGCTCACTTGTGAGCAATGAACCAGAGAGGCTAGTGTAAGGGTGAATAAGGAGTGGATTTAGTGGTGTTACTGCTCAGGAGATTAAATATCTGCTGTATACACAAAACAATGGACATGCAAGATTCCAATTTGATTTTTTCCTGAACTGCTGTTTAACAATTGCATATGTTAGAGATTGTTCTAGAAACATTTGCCTTAATATATTTCACTCTCTGCAGATAAACATGCACAATACCTCGCAAAAGTATGCAAACCTACATGACGCACAGATTTCACCTTGTTTTAAAGCTTGCAGGCATGACACTTAAGTACAGTACAAATAAATGTTTGTGTAACAAACGTATTCCACACATTCAAAGAAAAGCACAAAAATAAATAGTTAAGATAAATGGAAAAGTCATGATAGCATAAGTATTCTAACCCCTTGCTGCAGCAAACCAAAATTAATTTAGGTGCACGTAATTTCTTTAAGGATACCCTAAAACGTGCTGAACTGTTTCTCTCTTGGACTGGGTTGGAGATTCTGAACGTTTTTCCAAGATCTCAAGGAAATTTTTGTTGTTGTCCAGACATATTCTGTATTGTAATTGGACCAGTGAATTTTCAAAAAGTGTAATTTCATTGGGAATAAGTCAGCATCTCACTCTGTGATTCTGTTGGATCTGGCTTTTATTATGGAATAGGCTCCAAGCACCGAGTTAGTAAAGGGATCTTCATGTTGCTGCCATACAATTAAATAATTTGATTGAGATGTTGCCAGGTTCCTGCAACCCTTTTGGCTAGTGGTTTAGAAAATGGATGGATGGATGTCACTAGGTTTTATGTGGATTTTGAAGTTGAAAGTAGAAGCCATTTTATAAAAGTAGGTGGTTTTATTATACTTTCGCTATATGACATTGCAAATACAAATGATTTAAATGATGTTTCCTCAAAGACTGTATGAGGGTCCCTAGTAGGACAGTTTTATACAGTTGATTTGCTCTGAAAGCATCTGTTGACCAGCAGTGCAGATTTTAACATTTTATGGTAGTAGCATTCATTTTTAATTAAATTTCTTTGAGAAAATCCAATAAAAAGTAATATCTCTCTACTTCTGCACAAACCTCTTCCCCCTCAGTGGTACTCTCCTCATCCTTCTACTTAAGGATGCCTAAAATGTTCAAACAACCACCATGGAACCCACACACAACAAGATTTTGACTATTGTATGTCAACAGCTGCAATTTGGGATTCATCTCTCCTCTGACTGATATAGCAGCCAAAAGTTTCATATAAAATAATATCAGGACGGACCATTTCGATTTTTACTGCTGTGACAGGCTCCGATAAGTCAATACCTAGTATGAATACGAGGTGCATCTTAATATACAGTATCTATTTAGAATAATGGAAAAGCAAAAAAGAGATCGTTGTAGAACTTAACCACCTCTGGCCACTCCCAAAATAGTACAGAAAGGACTCGGACTTCATATTATACTGTCTACAAGTTGAAGGAAACGTAAGTGGATCATGTGATGATTAAGATTGTTACTGTATTATATTGTGTCAGGGTGTGGCCTTATCTTCCCTATTCTAGATAGTGGCCACTGCAAAAGGTTCATATGAAGACTGTAATAAGACAGAAGCAAATTCCGTTGTTTTGTCCTTGAGTGGAATAGATTATGCACTGGGTATATAGATGACTTTGTGCCCCAGGGGGATGCCTTAGGCACACATCTACACTACCAAGGATATCACTGCATAAATCAGAACTACAGATGAGATGAGACTTCCTTCCAATATACACCAAGATTAAGTAGTGTCAGGGTTAAAGCAAGCAGACAACGGGCAGAAAACTGAAACTAAAAATTCTAGTAGTATTCACACTAATCAGTTTGATTTTAAATTGGGGGGGGTTACCAATGTACTCTCAGTCAGAAAGTACTGAGAACCAATGTTTTAGACACCTTAGATGAAAATTACTTACAGCAACAATATTCAAAACATATTTCATGAGTTAAAAAATAATGCTTTTTCAGTTAAGGTTTCTATCTTGCCACTCAGCCATATTGGTTTAGTACAGGGACTGGGACAATTTATGAATGGTGACTACCTTTACAAAACTTTCAGGCACTGCTGCTGGCTTCGTGACATCCCTAACCAGGCTTCGGCTCTCACAAGCGTGTAGGTTGTGTGCAGGTACTATTATGCACATTCCGTGTCTTAATGACGACCTTCACTGTAGTCAAATACATAAGTAACTTCCTTCTGATCTGTTTTTTTTTTCTTTACCACTCTATTCCAGTTTATTTTGAAAGCTCCCGAGTCATCATGATTGATTTGAATATAAGTGATTTGTGGGATGAAATTCAACATTTATTGAGGAACCCCGAGAGAGATAGATGCCTCTACTTTGAAGTTAAACCACTTTGAAACTTATTGTGCTCCCTATCGATTTAGGATTGCCATAACAAAGGGGACGAATAGTCATGCAATTGTGAAATGTATAATAATCTTTATATAGCTGATTTCCATACTATCAGCATTTAACTGTATCATGTTGGAATAGAAGATGTAGGTTCTAAACAAAAAGAGTAATTGAAAACAGGAGTGTCATCACTGCAAGCTCAAACGGGAACAAAGGGTGCAAACTTTGCAAGGATGTTAAATGTTTTTCAACATATTGTATGCTAGGAAAACCCAGCACCATGAACAAGCAAATACAACCACAACAAATAAAAGAGCATCCATGTTTTTCTGTGATTCAACTGAAATTATTATAACAGGGTGTATTACAATTACTTTGCTCCAGTTACAAATTATGCACAAAAGAAAGTAACCAAGATAAACTGGGGGGCTTAAGAGACATTCCACATGTTAGTTCAGGTGGGTAGCTGTGACAGCATGCGTAGGCTGCAAAGGAACAAGTAATAGGTTTATTCCATGCTTAAAAAAAGAAAGAAAACATTTTGGCCGTGGAGCCTTCTTCAGGTGTGAGCACATATTTGCAGGAAGTTAAAACCTACAAAGGAGGTTAATATCTCAAATTCAGATCATTTTTTTATTATTTTGTACATTGCTTATCACAAGAAATGGCCATAGAGCACTATAACAACCATTTATCAGTGTATCATAAAGTCACCACTGATCATGTGAGAATAAATAGCAATGGTTTTAACCAGAGACAGAGGTTAAGAAGAACCCCAAGAGAATACAGTCCAGATCTGAATAAAGAATCTTGGTTGGGATCTGACAGAAACTAATAGAAGAGATCCAGTGAGCCAGTGTAAGCCAGTGTTATAGCTTACAGAACCCTGCAACTGCATACAGCAGGGAAAGAGGACATGTCAACCAACACTTCTGACCAGCTCAGCTTTGAACCATTCATCTTTTCACACCAGCTAGGTGTTAAAAGCCTGGAGAAGTGTGTACCTCACAGACAACACAGCATGCATGTTTCTGAGAGTCAAACGCTGGTTGACTCAACCCATCCTACCCTCAGTCACATGACTAGCTCAGCCCACTGTTCACAATTGTCAGGCAGTGACATGACTAAGGCTCAAACCTGCATTTGGGTAAGCCTCCATACCAGGTGATGAGCTCAGGAGGCCTCTGAAAGAATACATTTAACAATTTAATACCACCAGTTCAGACTTGTGGATTTTTTTACATCTTAGTTCATCTGCATGGGAAATTAAAGGGCAAGCATGATGCACCAGCTTGCCCACTCACCAAGCCATTCATCTTTGCAAAGTTATACAGTATAATGCCTTTCACGAAGGCAAGTACAATTTAAATAAGTGATGTGTCCCTCACTGACTACATCAAATAGTCACAGAATCTTACCAAGAGCTGAGAGTAGCTTATTCCAGCCTTATATTGTTGTTGGACCTTTTAAATTACTTAGGAAACAAAGGTTAAAAGAATCTACAACACTCTTAAAACCAAAAAAGGAATTTAAACTAACCCCATTATTAGGTTAACTATGTAACAGCGGAGCTCAACTAAAACAGGTATGTGAGCTACACTGTCTGGAGAAGGCAGCTTTTAGTAGTTGAGCATAGAACAAATTAAGAGTTTCACATCACGAAACATGAAAATAGAAGCACTTTGTTTTCTCTTTAGTTTTCCTTCCTACTGTGTTCTCTCTATAATTTCAGCATTTTAAACAATAACCAAATCCAAGAGAGGCTAAGATCACAATAAGTGGCATTTCATTTTAGAATGACAATTTCCCTTTCATGTCACCCATGGTGTTCTTAATGGTTTTATCAGTGTCAAAACTGAAATAAGTTCTTCTTCGCAAACAGTGCAGTGAACAAAAGCCCACATGAATCTTTCAGGAAACGGCTAGATTTTCCACATTGCTAAGCTTCCAACAAAAAGGTACAAGATGAGCAAAAGGATTCCGTGTTCAACTTCTCTTAGGTTCTTTTTCCATTATTTCTGCTTCCAACCCCATGCACGCGTTTCAACACAGTCACAGCAGAAATAAACGATACAAAAAAGCACTTGCACTGGAAGTGTTCCAAATTTCAACTATGGATTCAGTATCACTGTAAAGGAGAGAAGCTGCTTTCACTGCAATTTTTCATTGCACATAATTACAAGGTCACTGGGATAAGATCCACCTCTATCGTTGTGATACTTTCATTAATAAAATTCAGTTCTCCAAAATAAAAAAGCAGAACACCTGTAGATCTAATGTCCTTTCCACCCCCGCCCCCATATGAAAAATAAAAATTCAATACAAACGTAATATGCATGAACGGGTCATTTTCCTGCGAGAAATTAAACAGTGAACACTATTGATTTGATCAGTTTATGGACAACAGTTTAATTCCAGATGTTTTTTATTTCATGCAGTTATTAAAGATTAATGGAAGATTATCTCAAGTCCTTAGAGTGTCATGGTGTCTGTGTTTTAGCTGGTGTAACTGAATCTAAACAAACTTTGAGTAAAATCAAAATTCTGATTTCAGAATGTGTTTTTAAATCTCTAAAGCAATAAACCTCTACTGAACGATGACCCCATTTTGTCTTCATGCTGTCAGTAGTGATTTAATAAGCATAACCGATGATGAGTATTTCAATGAAATTCCTCCTACACCACCCACTCACCACTTTCATAGCTTCTTAAAATAAATCTGAGCTGACAGCCATGACCACCCACTGCAAGATGACATTTTTATACTGATCTTGACATGAAAATAACTATCTCAAATTTTGCCACAACTATAAAACACATCTAAGGCACACTTACATGATCAAAGACATTTTACTGTAGGTTAAATGAACGGCTTTATGGCAAAAATAACATTACAAGAATCAGAACGCTTAAAATGAAAGTTTACATTTACTTATATTTTAACTTCGCATGCTGGCCAAAGTGTTAAATACAGCTATAAAAATATCATCAGCCTAGAACTGCATAATAAAACTTACACATCCTGGCAAGAGCTGTTCACTTTAAAATGTGAACCAATCAGAAAAAGACTGCTGAATAAAAATTTTAACTGGGTTGAGGTTTGATAAGTGGTGTCATAATCAGTCCAAATTACAAGTACACAAAAGTCTCCAACATTAAACTGAATAAATGAAAATAAAATAGTAATGGAACACTCCCCAGGAAGAAAAATATTTACATTAACATAAAACATGAACAAGATCACATTTGTTGTTAGAAGTCCATGTCTTCAGTTTCATAAAGGAAATCAATGGTATAGAAGAGTAGGTCATAAGGCATTGTACTCCACACACTTAGAAGGGTCTGTTGGGAAATGCTTTTGGCAAATTGTCATCAATCTTTTCAGTCCCTAGGCAGAAGAAAAGGACAAGAGCTTTATAAAACCAGACCTCTAGAGGAAAATCAATGCATTGACAAAAACAACAAATGTCATCACTGTGCATACAGGAATCCACACTTCACTGTGAAAAATTCTCCTTTTTGTATCATTATTTTCTAAGGAAGCACATGATTTTGTCCACTTTTGTGGCATTAAAAACAACTAATGCTATTCGTTTTTTCACATTTTTTATGATAATTGGTATACATTGGAGTTATGCAGTCTTTGATGAATAAGAGCATGTACCAGTTTGTATCGTACCTTCTTTTGAAGGAGTTCAAAAAATAAATATAGGGAAATCGAAAACAAAATCTTGTTTAATGCAAATAGTGAGCCTGCCCTATAATCACTGATTACTTCATCAATGAAACAGAGACACAAAAGAAAAGCGTTTTAAGTTCTTTTACCTGAATATACTTTCTCTGAGTTTCATCGTTAAGAACATGAGCCACATGTTTGGAGAAGATTTTTTCTCGACCTGTACGTGCATGGATGCCGACCATAGTCACACCAATAGGCCATGGGGCATTTCCAATAGCCATCTGAAGATAGGCATCATTCGCCTGTGAAGCCAGCAATGTAACAGTCAGATTATACTTGCTTTTTAAATCCAGTTAATATTTTGTGATCTCCTTTCAGTGGAAACACGGTTGAGCTTTAAGCCCTTCATTGCCCAGTTCTTGTTTGTAAGCTTGAAAAGATCTAAAGAAAACTGGGAGAATAATGCAATCCCTGGGAAGCAAAACTTTCTCAGTTTTAAATCTCCAGTTTTGGAAAGTTAACAAGTCTTGTAAAAGTGAATGTTTTCAATTTTTTTCAAAGTGCTAAGCCTAGAAAATAGCAGGTTTGTTCTACTGATGGATGCTATCTTACTGCTAGCTACGATTCTAAAACTTTTAATTACCCGAAAGAACAGTACATCCAGATTAAACTAATAAAAACAGCAACAGCAACACATTATTCAAAAGACTTAAATACCTTAACATATTCTCTTTGCAACATGAACTTGATGATATCAGTGATTGATTCTTTGATGTCTGCTGGGAGATTCTGAAACAAAGCACAAAATCAAATTGTCATCTAATCCCACTTAGAAAAGCTAATACTAGATTGCACACATTTCAAGTGAACCAACTGACGGTCTACAAAGGTCAAGTTTTTTAGAGTATTTAAAATAGCAGATCAGAAGATAACCTTGATCATCAAACATTTAATCTGATAAGTACACTTATGCACACCAGAAATTGACAGCAACTGGCTTATGGAGGTTAACTGTATAATGGTAACTAAAAAAACATCTGTTTCTGGTGAAAAGCAAATCAGACTTCTACATTTTTCATCAGGTAAAATAATTTGGCAAGTGATATGTAGCTCATTGGATAAATAAAAGCCCATGTTAAACTAAAACATAAAAACAAAAAAAAATATCAGCATTTAAGCCACACTGGTTACAATTCTACTTTTAGGATTTGAATCACCATTAAAAAAAGTTAGCAGAACATTCACTAAACCTCAAACATATTCCTAAAAGAGTAACGTGCAAGCTTCTCATGCAATGTTGGATTGATAAAGAACACAATAGCAAATCAAGAGACAAATTTCAGCTCTTACTCTCTTGCGCAGTTTCCTGAAAAGCGGCTTGAGATAAGACTCGGTCTGTTTCTGGGTGGCGCTGGCCAGCTTCCCCTGTACACTCCTCTTCACATAATCCTCTCGGCCATTCAGGTCTTTTGCCCACACGCCAAGCAGAAACTGGAAAAAAGTAAGAACACGCATCTTGGTGGTTCAAACGCATTCCAAAAAAGTGAACAAGCTATCCGAGTCTACATTCTTCTTGTTTTAAAAATGTTTTAAAACAACGGTCTTTATTTTTCTATTTACATGAATATTTGGTAGAAATGCTGACCATGACTCATTCATGTCTACCGCAATCAAATTCAGAACTTTGGCAAAATTAAAATGTACTGTCTAATTAACAGTAACCACTCGGTATTCTGGAGACGTCGCAAAATGAAATAATATTTAAAAATTCCAATTTGCCATAATACATTTATCAATTTGTTCAGTGAGTAAAAAACTGAAGGAAAAAAAATTGAAAACTAGATGTAAAAGACTAAATCTCTTTGCAGCTATATTGAGCTATATGAAGCTATGTATAGCTTTGCCTATAGAGATGTATTAAAATATATTTTCGCTAATTCAGTAACCTGTGTCTTACCTTTAGAACCTTAGTTATAATGTCCATGTCTCTATCATCATCACCTTGTCCAAGAGATTCTCCTAAAGCCTGAAAGTAACATTTCATAGTGAGAAGAGATTTCCCTCTGTAAGAATGTGGAATGTGAGCAGAATGTGTTTTCACAGCTCACATTGCTAATTACCAAAAAACTTAAGGATATAATGAAGGTTACAAACCAGAGAAAATCACTCAACTCAAATGTTGTAAACAACCCAAAAGAATTCAGAAAATTCAAGAGAAAACTTATACTGGAGTGTTCACTGCATTATTGTAGAAATGCACATTACTGCAGCAATAAAAAGAACATCCATGTTCTACTCATTCTATTTCAAGAAGTAAAATGGCACCACCTTGTGTTGAAAGGCATGCTAATATAATTTAACAAATTGTAAATTACATTTGGAGAACACTTTTACAGGATTATGTATAACATGAAAAAAGTATGAAAGTTGCATTTGAATAAAGTATAAAGTTGCATCTGTAATGCTTTTAGATATTTACTATATCACAAATTCAAATGCAATATAAGATATAGGCATGAAGTGGAAGATATCTAATCTGCACACTTCACTGAGGTAAATTGTTTTCCTTTAATACTCGATGCATCTGAGAACCAGCATTTTAAACAAAGCAGCTATTGGCGAGACTACATACATGTCCAACACAAACAGTTCTCTCAAAACAAAGTTACCACTGCCATTCCTCAATGTCTGTTAATAGTATGACATCACCTCCAGTTCTTCAATGGTGGTATTTTCTTCATGGACTTTCAGGTCATTTTGAGTGTCTTCCTCTCCTGGTTCTTGACCACCTACAATTTCATTGAGATACTGCTGGTCTATTTTATCCAGAGCTGCCTTCAGATCATTTCGCAAACCCTATGAATAAAACCAAAAAGGTATTAACACTGACTATATGAGAAATCAGACAGCAGAATTACACCCTGTTAATAAAAATGTCCCAAAAACTAAAGGGTAATGATAATAGTAAATTAAAATGAAATCAAATTAATTTATGCTGACAATTCTGAAACCCAATTAAGTCATGACGAGCAAAGATCTAAGATCTACGAATACACTAATTCATTCAAGCTACCATTTTTAAAGAAAGCATATTTATGATGCTCTTGTGTGAAAGTATTTCACTATTGAATGGCATTGATACTACATACCTATGATGACTATTATAAATAGGTATAAAAATGTAATGGTATTCCATTAAAAATTAACATCTAAATTTTAGACATGGAGAAATTATATATGTTATAAAACACTAATCTTTTGATCTATGTACCGAGACTTAAATGCTATACATAACAGTGTAAGCTGATCATACTGTAAATGGCTGGTTCAAAAATGTTTATTCTTAGAACCTTGCTTCTTTACTTTAGAAGCAAGTTTCATCTTTTGCAGTTTTAGTTAAGTTTTGACAGACACAATTGAGTGCTACAGTCAAGAAAGAGTATGAAATGAGAAACCAAACAATGAGGGGAACACCTGATCATATAAAATAAAGCAGAATAAAATCACAGGATGCCGATTTTATTCATTCAGAAGTGGGAAGATTTGGCAACATTCTTCAGAAAAAAAGACATACCTTGTTGACTTCGGGGGCTAAAATCTCGATTTTTCTTAGCCTTTGGAAGGCATCGTAATCAGACTCGCCAAACAATCGGATGGGCTCTCCTCTTTCCCGCAGACGTCTGATCACCTACAAAAAAAAAGCCAAAATATTTCGCCCACTGACTCATAAAGCCTCACCAGTGCATTATGATGTGGATGAAACCCTTTGGAAGGACACATTGGTATAACAAGCAGGTCTTGCGAGCTACAAGGTAATGATGGCTGAGTTTTAATAATTTTCCACTGATGATCCTAGAAAGATTTCAAAACAAATGTAAGCTTTGGTGACTGATTCTCACTTTAATAATTTGTTTTTTAATTTCCTTTGTTTTTTTTTTGTACACATTTTTGTATAAAGTTCCTAATAACCTTTCTACTAATCCTGCTGCTTGTGTGGCTGCTTTTGTTGTTCCTCTGTTTTTTCCTTGATTTTGATCCTTCTGTTTATTTTTTGGTTTGCTTTTGCTTGTGCTTTTTGTTTGGCTTAATTACTGTGTGATTTACTCTAAAAAAGACAGATGCAAATATGGAGCAGTGGTTCCCAATCCTGGTGCTGAGTTTCATTTCAACTGAACTCTAAATCTATAGTAATAATTGAGCTGCTTGCTTGTTTAGATTTTTACTCCCACAATAAGTAAAAAGTACATTTCAGGCAGTACACCCAAACTAAAGCGGTTCTGTCAGAAACCGGTATAGGATGGATGCCAATTAGAAATCCCATCTGACCTTTTACATATTAGCTAGAGCAAATACCATAAGACAGTGTTCCTCTGGGATCAGGGTTTCTATGGGGCCACTGACGGAGGTATACATCATTTTAGTTTAACTTTTCCAGTCAAAGCAACATAATCATTAAGTGGTAAAAATATTCTTTATTGTCTGACAGAAAGCAAATGTTTATTCCTAAAAACAGTGTCTTGAGTTCATGAACACCTCAATGAAAGGCCTATTTCAAAGTAATCGCCGAAAGCTCTTAGATTTTGCAGAGACTCCACTTTGTAAGTCTCCATGGACTTTCCAAAGTGGAAGCGAAAGTGGGTGGACTAGGATGATATCCATGACAGGATTCTGGGTTTTTGTGGCCTTTGCAGAGGAGAAACAGTGCATCTGGGAACACCTTTCACCAAATTAGTTTAGAAAAAAGCTAAGCACATGCACAGACATCTGAACACAAGCATGTTCTGTACAACACACTTTGCCTTGAGAAGGGCACAGCATCTTCTGCACTGTTGCATGAGGCTTACCTCCTGTCGTGAAAGCGTCATGGGCAGCTTCTCTTCAGTTAGTTCAAGTTCCAATACAGGATTGGAGGAGGTCGATGGTTCAGGCTCATCTTCTTTTCGCTGCAACTTTAAATTAAAACCAAATTGAAGATCCCATGCTTAACAAGATACTGTAAATGTAAAGATTATATGAGCAATTTGTTACTTTTTATTTTGTAATATATTTAATTAAATAACTTTCCTTTCCAAAGGGCCACTGACATTGATAATGCATACAAAATACATACTAACAAGTCGACTGCTTACAACATTAAATAGCCTCAATATTTTATGTTGATGCTTCTTATAAACACTTAATATATATAACACCTCACTACTTCAGAAAAAAAAGAGAACAAAGGTGCTTTAATATTTTAAAAAACGCACTGAACAACGCCATCTACTTGAAAAGTATTTCAACACTGCACAACAGAAATTAATTTGAGACAATACTTGCATGGGAATCTATCAAGATTCTAAAAACAGAGAAAAAACTGGGTCAATTAGGGAAAGCACTGATCCTCAGTTAGATGATCCGGAGTATAGCACTGGGTTCCAGAACACAGAACTTGTCTTAAACATATAATTAAATTGCATGCAACACCTCTCAACAGCTATTTAATAAACCAACGTGACGTTAAGTTAATCATTCATGACAAATATAAACTAAACATGTACTGTAACACGAATTAGTAAGGTGACACTTTACAGGTTCTTTTGTAAGTCTTTAGATTCTTGCTCCCACAATGTTACTATCCCCGCTTCTCATAGTGACACTTGCCTATACTCTGCAAATAAAGTACTTATTAATGGTGCAAATTAATACTTTAAAAAGGACAGTTAAGCAAACAACTCCGGCTGCCTTGAAAAAAGGAAACCACCATGCTACAAGACACTCTTTATTTTTCCTGAACAGATGCAGAAAACAAGGAAAGTGTTTTCAATGCTTGTTCACTAGTACTCCATTATTTTAAAAAATACATAAGTGTATTTTTTTAAATAATTCAATTTGAATCATGCTTTCAGAAGCACATGCACTTTTCCCAATTACAGCTAGCAGTACAAAAAGAGGTAGTTGTAAAAAAAGATAACAGGCAATTTAAGGGATCTCTCAGAAGACTATCAGAAGCACCGCAATATCTGCTAAAAAGCAACAGACTATTATTGAAAGGGGGAATTTTTTACTTGGAGCTAAGATTTTTTTTTTATAAAAGGTCACTAATATTTGTGATCCATATCTAAAACAAAAGGGTGAGTTTAAAATATCTTAAACTGTGAATATTAAACTGTCCAGAATAACTGAAGTTAGTTCCACCCTATGAATTTTTTAGTTTCAAACTGGTGCAGCCAAGACTTATTTTCTTCTGCTCAAAACAATTTCACAGTTTGCTAGTTCATGCTGTAAGCAAAAGAAAATGCAAGAAAAAAAAATCAATGTGTTTCAGCATGCCCAATTTTGCTCTACAGCAGGGACAAATCTTTGCCCTCTTTAATCCCATACCTTTCCTGCTGGCTTCTCATTAACAACCTACAGTGCAATGCAGACGGGATGGAAGAGCAGCATTAGATGTTATAAAGACAGGGTCTGAAGAACAAGCCAAAAAAATCACTAAGAAAGCCAGAGAACCTTTATAGAAAGCACTGTATTCATATGTGCAAAATATTCTAATATACATATAAACACATGATTGGAATCAGAAAAAAAGCTGTAACGAGCTGATAGGCCAAAAAAAGTTCTGGTTTGCAAACATACACCATGCATAACTACTGGATAACTGTTGGAATTTGAAAATAAAGTACGGATTTGATCATTTTACATTTAATTGATATTCTGGGTTAACACTGTGATTGTACAGATCAAGACAAGCTAAAGAGAAGCAAATGTACACAGACATCATTAATGTCCAAAAGAAAAGAATAACAAGTCTGTACTTTAAAAGAGATCTAAAATCCGATAAACAGAAGCCGGTATGTTGGAACCTAAGGGTGATTCACTAAAAGCATCAGGTGTCATACAACCTAAGCCAAATGTATTTAGATCCTCTAGGTCAGTGACCATCCATCCACACCTGAGATCTCATGAAGTGCAAAGACGACAGACAGGCAGTTTTTCAAAACTTTGGCAATTTACCACACAAAGAATATGACCCGGACTGAATCAATCTTCTTGAGATTGTCACTATAAACACATTTCTCCCTAATCTAAAGACTGTATAGCTGTACACTAGACCTCCAATCCTTGTTTGTTTTGGCCATTTTTTAGAGTGCATGTATTTTTTGTATTTGGCAAATAATGAAGTCCACTGATTTGAAGGAATATTTCCCTAAGGAATAAATGATTAAACTTGTATGGTTTGTCATATACTGTATTTTATCTTATTTTTCCATGGAATTTCAGAATGTGAAGAAAATATTATTCATAAAGTATGATCTCCTTGCATAAGATAAAAGGTCACTGTACAAAATAAAGTCCTGCTACCATTTAGCTGTGCTGCTCTTGACTCCAAGATAGAGAGGAGTAGTTGCACTTTGGTTTTCTACTTATTCACAGAGAGTCTCTCTGCGGTTTTGCGTTTAAATGAACCCAGTTTCCGACTTACATCCTAGTGCCTAAGTTGCCAATTAACTGTGCTCACTCACAGCATGTGCAACTGTTCTGGCCCGATCTAACGCCTAAAATTCACACAGGGAAACACCTGTATAAGGCTATCCGAATACAAATCTATAAATATGTCAGCACTGTACCTTATAACCACATCTTTCATAATAGGATTCTTCTTCTTTTCGGGCAAGCTCGCTGCGTTTAAAGAATTTCTTTGACTCCTGCAATACAAGAGTTGACGTTATGGCACTCAACATTATTTAAGTATTTAGTTTAATATCTCATGAAAGGTAGCAGTCCACTGGACGTCCATGCACTGATTTAACATTTCGAATTGGACAGAAACAAGCAAAAAATAAACTTCGTGTTTAAATACTACAGACTTATTAAAATGCTGTCGACAGCTTCGGATATAACAGTAAATCCCATGGAAAGGGTCTCTTAATGTTACTTAGTCCTTTACTGTGATATTGGTATACTAGACAGCGTTTTGTAAACACACAAATATCCATAAGTATAAAGCAGGTTATCGTTGCGGGTAACACCGAGTGATAGACGGTAAAAAAAAGTCATTTAAACCATCATAAAATTGAATATTTTCCATTGGACACCGGTAACTCACACCAACAAGCTCCTTTTCTTCGAGGAGCTTCCTTTTCCTCGCTATTTCAGCTTTTAAAATATCCATGATGTGATAGCATGTAACACAAACTCCTTCGGTGTTGTTAAAAAAAAACACACAAAACAGGAAGCAATTCTCCAACACTTCCGTCGGTTTTTATACGGTGAAAGGTCAAGGGGCGGTGTCAAGATACACAGATGCTGCCAGAAGCCGAAACCTCTGGAATAAAAAACCTCGACAGGTCATTGGTGTTGGTACCTCCCTTATGCAGATCTCTCTCATTGTTAATGAGAACAGTGCTTGTCCACACAATCACATGACCCATACGCTTTTACCTAATGATTAAATATGCATAAATTGTGGTTCTGGCACTGGTTCGAAGCATATTTGACATTAATTAATTGTATCGTACTAAGGTGCTATAAGTCATCGATCTCTGCTATTCTTAAATTATTCAAAATGTATTATTACTATTACTACTATTAACTTTTCGTGAAACAGACTTGAAATAAAAAAATTGTGATTAATATATATATATAATAGTATTGTGCTTTCCTAACCATTTGACTAGTTTAAACAAAGGTGAACAGACCGTATAACAAGGACACCGAGAGGGGCTGAGATACTTTACCCCATTTCCTCAGTAAAAAGTCAACTAGCCTTAGCCTCAAACCATTCATTCTCAAACCTCAAACCATACATGTGGGTAACTAGGTGATGAACATCTAGCCTACAAAACAATTCCATCAGGTGGCGCAAAGGAATATGGAAAATATAAGTACACCGATTCATCTTTTTGTAATACAAACGGATTCGCTCTAAAATAATAAATAAAGATCAATCGATTACTAGTACAAAATGTTTTATTCAAGAGCTGTAATTAACACGGTTAATTTTCAAAACCATTAAGGGCGTATAAACGCGAGGCTAAGCAGTTGGAACTGAAATACTGTAATGAGCAGGAGTTTTTGCTGATTACAGAGACGGACCCCGGTCCTGCTGTTTATTCTGATGTACTACACGCTGGAGTTCTGCTTTAGATTTCATTCCCTGGTCTTTATCGCACAGATACCAATAATGGAGTTTTCTGAAAGGAAAAGGAGCAGAAAATCCCAAAGCTTCAAACTGATTAACGAAGAAGGTAAGGCAGGGAATTTATCTTGTCACGATTCGTCTGCAGTCGCTCCTTTGGGTATTGTATAAACAAAAAGGTTAAAATGAAATAACCCTTGTTAAAGAACACGGAATGCACCTGCAACGTTTGTTTAGTTGAAAGGAGATTATTGTCCATCAGTAGAAACACAGTATACATAGACATTATTTAATATATTTGTCACATGGGGTATACACAACGGAAGAATAAACTAATGCTCGAAGAATGCATTATATATGTGGTTGTTTTCATGAGGAGTAGGTAGTCTGAAAGGCACACTGACAAACCGACGGATATCACTGAACTTGTATTTTCTGTCATTAGATTACAAATTTATAAAAAGTGCATTTGTTCGAGTGTATATTCATTATGAAAATTTGCGTTAAACAATTCTGTTGCGCATGAGAATGAAATAATATCAGCAATATCAATATTGGCTTAACGTGATCTGTAGTAGTTTAGTTTGGTTTGATTTGATGCCAAGTTTGAGCCTGAGAACTAGACTATTTTATATTCCACCTACAGGTGGTAGAACCTAACAGCGTGCAGTGTGCAGGAAACTAAACAGGCAGGTCCAGTCCTGCCTACAATAGTCTTCATTCCGCTAAATAGTCGTGCACATTCACTACAGTGTAAAGACAGACAGCGAAATATTTCCTAGGTCCCATTATACAGAATATTGTTTACGTTTTTCTGGGATTTGATACTCTTCCTACATTAGTAATATGAGAGTTAGATTTTCCAAGAGCAGTTGTTTCAAGGTTCATTTTAAAGAATGTTTTAAAATTTGGCAAATTTGTTCTTTCAACGATACTGACTTTATGAAGTAAATGCTTCAAACATCATACATATAAATATGTTGGTGATGTCTTGTGTGAAGCTCTCATTTAAAGCATAATAGCTTAATAGTGAGAGTTATAGTGTGTCAAAGAGATGGATAGAAAGGAGGGAAACCTTGAACTATTAATTCTTGAAAACAATTATGATTAATTATTTCCTTCCTCTTTGACAAAATGATGATATGATTTGTATAAAATATTCAGATGTATTTTGCTGTATCATCTGAACCTTGGTGGGTAATCCATGGTAATATTCCTTGTCTTTCCAGATTACGAAGCAGAATACTTTGCAAGCAGTAACACCCTTGATGCAAACGGGGAAATAAATGATACAAAAATGGCTGAAGGTACATTGTTTATTTCTTATTGAATAAACAGGCAAGGATTATGATAACATTAATCTTGAAGATACGTTCAGCTCTTGCTAAAGATATATATATATAGTTTATGCTGTATAAGTAATATTATTTTTCTGTGATGAGTACTTTTAGCTCAGTGTGTTGGTCAGGATTTGTCTTATTTTGTCTTGCAGCATGGTTACTAGCAGACATCCCATTTATTTCAAGTCACATGGCATTATCACAGTGTCTTTAAGATAGATTGTTTTTTCTTTGTTTGGTCATGTGTATTGTAAAATACAGTCAATTTTTTCCATTTGACAATTGTACTGTATCTGCATAGCATAGCACAGACAGAACAGTATATTGCAGTAAAAGTCAAACAACCATACAGTAGTACTATTGAAGCAGAGTGCTGGGATGTGGATTCTAGCATAACTGAAATTTAAATTTTGGAGACAGAAAAAATTGAAAACTGCTTTTAATAATGTTACAATATGAATGCCATATCCTATTATTTCACAGATTTATGGACATGCCAGAAATGTTCATTTCTTTCCATCGTGTTCTTCTATTCATGGTTTATGGTTTATTTGGTTGCTGTGAGGATACCAAAAGGTATATTCTAAGTAACATGCCTGTATTTTTTTCTTTTTGCTGCTTATGTCCAGAAAAGTTTTGAAATTTCTAAATTTACAACTCGCCAAACTCAACTTTGAGATGTCAGCTCACATGGAACAGCATATAGGGTAACCATTCTGATCCTAGTAGTGATTGAGTAATATTCACTGAATATACAAGAAGAATCTAAGAAACTTTGCAAACCAGAGAAGTCAATTTAGCCCATCTAGTTAGTCTCCAACACTGTAACTAACCAGCTCTCATACAGCAATGCCTTTGTCCTGCTCACTGTCATGTAGAAATTGTGTAGCCAATACAATATGTTTTCCTACTTCTGTAATTGCTTTGCATCTGCATTACCTTGGATTAAATTGCTAAATAGTTAATAATGATAATAACAGAAGTAGTTATACTAGTTAATGATAATAACAGAATAACAAATGACAGAGGTCAAGTTGAATATTACGCAAATGGGAGAAATGGGAGGAAAGCTGCCACCTTAAGAATTAGGGTACATTTCAGGTGCATTAAGGTGGATTGAAGAATTAATGGTTGCATTAAGATGAGGGCCATTAAGCTATCTGATGAAGGATCACACCTTAACAGGTGTAACAGTCTGTTAAGGTGTGATTATCAAACTGCAGCTAGTCAATGTCTTGAAAATAGGTGTAGTTGAAATGGGTTGCTAATTAAATTAACAGGTTAAGATTATGTCCCATAATGCAGACACTGTTGCATTAAATCAGGGTTATGCTATTAGACAACTGCCAAACGTATTTCCAAAAGGATGGTACGAATTGGTAGTTGGTTCTGTTGGGGTTTGGTGGACTTGAGTCATCCAAAGCATCTTTGGACTATCACTCACGATCTCAGGCGATCTCTGTGACCTATTTCAGTCACTATGAATAAGGTTCTTTCCAATAAATAACTGATGTTCAGTAATTGATAGTTCAATGTATGTTATTTTTTTCAAATAATAGTTTAATCACAAACAGTATGGCTTATCTATTCAATATAATTATATTCTAAACATTGCCTCTAATACACTTTTCATTGAGCTTAATTTGTGCTGAGGACATTTAATATATTTTTAGGTGGCTAAAATATGAAATGGCACTGTAAAAACCTCCATTCAATCCTGATTACTGCAGTCATATAGGAAATATATAACAGTTCTTGCAATATATAGCATGTTAGCCAAAGTTTAGAAGCGCACATAACACCATAACGATATACCACAGTAAAAGTATAAGAGTATAACAGATAAAAAATAAAGAACACTTAATAAACACTCCTTAATGTTACGACAGTGGGTTCATTAGCATGTGTTGCATATCCAAATAACATGGAAGGAGAGCACTCATGAGGAGAATGATATGCATATGGTGTTCATAGAAGCTTCTTAGAAATAAACCACATCTAAATTGGCATTGCTAGTAGCACTGATGAAAAGCAGGTGTTACACACTGAGCTCCAGCTCATAAAAAGCTGCCATTCAAAACAAGTGTTTTATCAAGGGAGAGAGGAAGATGAATGATCCAGAGCCCAAACATCAGCAATTTCCAGAACTTTGTGGGGAAAAGCAAACTTTACTAGATTTGACAGAGAAAAAAATTAGTCTGCATGTTATACAGATAGAGCAAAGGGAGGGAAAAGGGAAAAAAATATGAAAAGGGGAAAATTAATATAAAATACCATACAGGCTTTATCTTATGACCCTTTCGTTTTTAGTCATTTCCATCTGTTTTGCCTGGAAGACACAGCAGATTGTGGTATTTCAGAGCTCTGAGAGACAGGTTTCTTCGGAGGCAATTTAATTTCTGCCACAAATATTTCTTCTTTTTCTTTAAATATAAAGTATGTACAGTATATTGTATGAGAAGTATGCTTTGTGGCACGTTTTAGATGGCTTTTTGCAGTATTGTTTTATTTGATCAAAAACTAAGTATGTTTCAGACACTACTGGACACATACGGTATTACCAGTGTTCTTATTAATGTTGTATTACCAATGAATGTGGGGTTAATATATCTGAATATAGGGCAGCAAGGTGGCGTACTGGTTAGTATTGCTGTCTCGCAGCACTGAGGCTCTGGATTTAATTCCTGGGGTGCTGTCTGCGTGGAGTTTGTATGATCTCACAGTGTGGGTTTGCATGGGGAAACCGAGTGTTATTGGGGTGCTATGATTTCCTCCCACAGTCCAAAGATATACTGGTAGATTAATTAGCTTCTGGGAAAACAGGCCCAGGTGTGAGTGTGTGCATGATCGTGTCTCTGTGCCCTGTGATGGACTGGCGTCCCATCCAGGGTGTATCCTGCCTTGCACCCGCTGTTTGCTTGGATAGACTCCAGCTCCATGGCCACCCTGACCTGAATAACACGGTTAGAAAGTGGATGGATATATGTTGATATATGTATGAAAAAATTAAAAGACACATGTGCATCCGCCTGTTTTGTAGTATAATTAACCATTATAACATTTTATAGTTTTATAAAAATGTGAATACTTTCTCCCCAAGTGGTGCAAGCCTTCACACTCCACACTTACAATATCTAACACTGTTTTTGGTGTTGGTGTCGGAGGGATACATAATCCATGTTCGGGAAAGGGGCAGCAGATAAATACTATGGGCACCATTACGCACTTCCCGCAATTCGTCAGTCTCTGCTCTGTCAGTATGGTGTTATTTCCCTAAGACACATCTTATCTTCAGGTGTCCACAAAGTGCAAGACACATCATATGGGAAAACCTGTGTAAACATTTTGTTGCGCAAATGTTGTGCCAGTGACTTCCATAGCGCACATCTTTATATAGATCATTCACCTGTAGGAATAGGGTCTTGCTAATGATTACAAGAGATTTCTTAGTGTCTTTAACATCCAAATTGTCTTTAGCTTGGCTAGGTGACGAAGGCATGGAGATTAAGAAACAGATCACTGGTATGATGAGGCTGTTAAATGACAAGGCCGGCCGAGTATATCAGAGAGTGGGGAAGGAGGGGGAGAACCTGAAGCAGGAGCCCAAGGATGTCGATGTGAGGTGGGCCCAGCCTGCCCCTGCTGTCGCTCCAACTATCTCTGTGAGCCAGGAAGTTCCCCAGCACAGCACATGGAACCAAGATCCTGTAGTTGCTCCTCAGGTCTCTGGGCAATATGGCACTCGATCAAAAACCTTAAAAATGATGAACAAGACAAAGAACACACTCAAAACAAATGGTACGTTTCTTTCTTTGCCATTAAAAAGTCCATCCTAACAGTCTTTTTTTATATTGTTTTTGCAGTAAAAGTAACTGATCTCACAGGACATGTCTTCCTTACTTTTTACATTACCTGCCCTTTCTGTAAGTCATCTTGAAAGGATTGTTTCACCTCTTGTTTTTAAATTGAATTCCCAGAGAAGTGTTTTGCCTCTGTCATCCCCCTTCATTGATCAGTTCTGAAACAGCCCTTCATTTCCTTCCATTTTAGTATTCTCTTGTGAAGCCACTGTGGGAGATTGATGCTGTTAAAATGGTGTGAATATTTTTCAAATACATTTAAGATAAAAAATGTTCCGAAAAGGTTTTTAACTGGGTGAAGCATCAGTTGCATTTTGTTTTCTCACTCATAATGCCATGTCAGCAGAGAACCATGTTTTATTTTATGGTAATATTTAATTACTAAGAAAAGTTACTGCAATTTCTAAGGTATAACACGGCAGAATTTGGGGTGGCGGCACCATATTTGCTCAGATATGTCAGTTGCTTAAAATATCAAAATGTCATAGTTTTACCTAAAGATCCCATGTTCTGGAATTTTTAGGTACATAATCAATGAGGTACTCAATCTATACTGTAGTTTGAAAACATGAATATATATATATCGCTTGATGTCTCAGTTCGTTTGGTCATGTAGCATGATGTCTACTACCTTTCTACACCACCCTCTGTGCTTATATTGTTTCTTTTCTCCGCAGGAGAGATTCCTTCTGCGGCAACTAACACTACTGGACCTGGCTGTTGTATGTGTAACTGTAAGACAACGCTGCAGGCTATACTTCAGGAGCTCAGAGCCATGAGGAAGTTAATGCAGACCCAAAAAGGTCAGCACAGCTATATCTCCTTTATACTTGGCTTGTATACATATATGCTATAATTCTTTTTAAGAAAATGAATAAGTGGAAATATATACTGTATGTAGTATTATGTAGTATCATACTACAAAAAGAAATGTGCCCTTTATGTCAAATAGTAAACGCTTATTAGATGAAGAAAATATGATTTAAGAATATTTTTTTATTATTTCTGCTTCTTATTTATACTGTCACATCTGGGCTGATTCTTTCCATTAAAGCCTTTAGGTTTCTCTCAAGGTGACTACAAGAGGATTACAAGCAAATAAAGCCTGCAAACTGTGGAATGCCTTGCCTGCTTCACACAAACGTCCTGTCATCACACAGAAAAAACACCTTTCTGCTATGGGGTTTTTGGACAGGAATGTAGTTCACGACTCAGCTGTGGCGGATATGTGCAACAGCCTTCATAAAATTAGGTCACAAACAATCAATAGCATGTACTTGTAAATGTCAACCGTTAGCAGATTCTAGAAATTCAGATTCCATAGCTTTGGGATGCTAATTATCAATATTTCAACTACTCCAAAAATCATTCAGTTCTTTACACGCTCTAGTACTCCGTCATGAAGAAAGAACATAAAGACATCATATGAAATTACATTTATATTTTTACAAATTCTCGATGGTGTACATATTTCCCCAACATGGTGACACAGTGTACTGTTTTCTCTTCTTTTTTTTTTGCAATAATTATATTCATATAATTAAAGGTCCCACTACAAATCAATAGATTAATTTGGTAATTTGGTCAAACTTTGGCAAAGATATCAGCAATTAAACTTAAAAGGTCTGTGATATGCCCCATTTCACTACATAAAATTGATGCCACTTTGTGAAACAATGTGCTAACTGAATAGTTCATTCTGAGCATTCATTCTACCATCTTTGTTAAGTCAAAAGCTTAAATGTAAATGTAGTCAGTGTTTTCCTTGATCGATTAAGATCCTACAGGAAACAATTTATAGGTAGTTTAGTTCTATAAATGTCATATCAAAGATACAGTGGACATTAAGTCTAAAAACCACTTTTGATTTTGGTTGATCTTGTACCACACATTACTGACCACCTTAAACATAACATTTGGAGATTATTTTCTATGTCTAGAACTTGTAATAGGGTAAATCTATTCATTCAGTTACACTGTTATCACTAAATAACACCTGGTGTATGTTTAACGATTTTGAAGAATTAAAGACATCTACAGTATATAAATAATGGCAGGAGGCTAGCAGCTTAGTGCATGGTGTGTTTGGAGCATTATGTGGCATCGCTAATGTATAGGATTTTTTAAAAATGTGAACAGTATCTTTTCATTTTCTCATACATGTGAAGAATATAAGCACGTTATCCTATATTCATTACTAGAATTAGAATCACTCCAAATCACATTTAGTATTTCCACCCAAAAAAAGAAATGGGCATGTTAATATTGACATACTCATCAATGATTGTGTAGAATTACATTTTTATCATAAATAAGCAAAGAAGAAACCAATGTTTAGCACAATAACATAAATAAATAAAAAATATAATTAGAATATGTAATAAATAATGTATTTGATAACACTATAAATATATACAGTAATACATATTTAATAACCAACAGAGACTTTATTTTCTTAGGAAACATGGCTACTTTAAGGTAGACAGAAGTACAGTACAAAAGTATTCACACCCCTGAGACCTTTTCGCATGTTATTGTGTTACAATATTAAATAATTTAATTGGGATTTTTTGCCATTAATCTCAAAACACTTGTAATATCAATGTGAAAACAAAATGATATAGCTTCTCCTAAATTAATTATGAATGTAAAACAGAAAATAACTGATTGCATAAATATTCACCTTATTTTGAGTCAATATTTGGTAGAGACACCTTTGGCAGCAATTACAGCCGTGGGTCTTTTTGGGTAATTCTCTTCCAGCTTTGCAAATCTGAACATTGTAATTTTTGCCCATTCTTCTTTGCACAGTTGTTCAGACTCTCTCTAGTTTGACGGAAGCTGTTGGTGAACAGCAATTTTCGATTCCTGTTCCAAGGAAGTCAACACATAAACACACTAAATCAAAACTTCAAACTTCAGGCACTTTTTCATTTCAAGCCTGTTGCTGGACGGCAGGTTTCCACTGAGTAACAGACAGGCCCCCTGTAAACAAAACTAAAAATCGGCAAGTTTTGATTTAGTCAGGGTCCTTGTCTCATTTTGGCAGCTGAATTTTATCCAACCGTGATGATTTGTGAAAACCCATTAGACTTTCTTTATGCTTTTACAGTATGACTGTAATCTGAGAGGTATGTTTACACTGGTTACACAGCCATGCCACCACATTGAGTTCTCCTATAAATATTTCCCTGGGTAAAAATCCAGTGAATTTCCATAATAACCACATCACTTTGAATGGAATTCTTTCAGGAGCTCAGGAGAAGCAGCGGGCTCCAAGCAGTGTTAGTGTTGTTCGATCTTCTACACCCCGAAAGAGGACTCGGAAAAGGAGGCCTGCCCACAAAATCACACCGCAGGCTGGGCACAGCAGGAAAATGAATGTCCAGCCCAGCAGCACTCCAGAGACCAGTGGGCGAAGAGAAAGAAGGGAGAGATCCAGTCTTCCCTCACCTGCTTCAGCAGCAGGCATTGAAAACCATGTTCCTCAATATGGGATTGTCAGAGAAATGCCTTCCTCAGAAGTATGTCATAACAAACGTTACCTTTATAAAAATGCCACAGTAGTCATTCAAACTACGAAACTGTGCCAAGGGTACGAACTCCCGATTGTTTTGATCAGGCTGTATAAGTAAGCCAGCAATTTCATGTCTACAAATGAAAAGCTTTTTTTGTAAAATTTGCTTTATTGCTAAATTATTTAAGCAGAATTATCCTATGATGTGCTTTAAAGAACATATGTTTTGTACTCAATCTGCATACATTTGACATTTTTATTGTAAACAAGCACATTACTGTATTTTTTGATTTTTTGCACACAAAAAAAAACCTCAGCAACCTTTTTTCTCTTTAAAATCGCACAAAATTACACATCAATTCAATATGACATAGTGTACCAATTTTCACCATTTTAAAATTCAGTCTTAATGGAAGCCCGTTTTATGTCTTATGTGGAGTTTCTCAATTAAAGTCAGATGCATGTCTGCTTTTCACCTTCTTCTCTAGCCTTTAATGCATACGAAGGAAGATACAAATCTGGTGAATACAGATTTTGAGAGAAATTTCAAAAATATGTATTAGGGAGTACTCTAAGCGCACAAGCCACAGTTTGAACTAATGTAAAACCCTTGGAATCACATGACTGTGTCTCCGGATTTGTACATTCTTGAAAACCTTTTGGAAAAGATAGTGTTGTAAATAGGTTATTAGAAATACTGACCAGTTACATATATAAACTGTATTGTGTTTCATCTAGTAAATTAAAACCAAAACAGGGCAGGATATGACTTACTGCCTAATTCAGATGGGGCTTTGCTGTAGTTAAGAGCTCAAAGGCAGTGCACATAATTGTTTAGTACCACCGTAACTGGATGAGCTGAAGCTGATTTTGATATCCTCAAATCACTGCGTATTAGGAGCACTTGTCACAGGTCTCATCCAAGCTTGAAGTATTGCCAGTGGGAACTGTGTCTATCATTCCAAAATAGTTTCTGCTATTTGTGCTGTGGGTGTTGTTTGTGAACAGGATGGCTGCAAAATGCACCTATTTCAAAATTTTGATGTAAACTATGTTGTCACTGTCTTTCTCATACTTGTTCAGTTATGCAGCAGTGAATCATGCAGAACAATAATTTCCTCATCAAATACCCGTACTGGGCACTGTTTTGCTGCCTTTTGGATTGTTTTTAGGACATTTAGGATTGTTTACAGTCCTTTACTTATTTTTGGATCTACAGTATGTTTTCCAGTGTATGTTGGGAATTTAGTGATTCAAAATAGCTTTATTATCTTTAAAAGGGTACAATAGTTTTGGTGATTCAGCCCACAGTGGGTGGCTGGGTTTATACTCACTAGAAAAGTGTGTACAATATAGCACAGGGCCTTGAGAGCCTTTTGTGTAAAAAGTAAAATATGTTGTCTCTTGGCATCAAAATGTGATGTCAACATTTTTGTAAAAAGCAACTTTGGTTAACACCTTTTTGCCTATTGGTCAGTTACTCATAGTTACTCATAGAAAGCAAATCCAAGATATTATTCAGATAATCAAGCATAATTATAACTGCTTTCAAGCTTGAGACTGTAACTTTTGCTGACTTGTGTGCCTTTTTTCAGCATCTTTTTCTACTTTACATGTTATTCGTTTGTAAACTACATTAGAATTTAGGGTAGTGGTATTATCTATTTCAGCATCTCAAGCATATTTTGCTCTTTTGTCTTTTAAAAATGCCTTATTGATGTTCCTTTTTTGTGTTTCTAATACTGGGTATTTTCTCTGTTTTGATTGTGCAACATTTGCGATGTTCATGTAATGTATCAAATGCTGATGAATAATGCAGAGAGCATCTGGAGATGGGCCAGTTTTTATCTGCTGCTTTAAAATAAATTGATGCTCCTGTTTGTACAATGCAAAAATCACATGTTTTCAAATGTCGAATAGGGACAATCTTCATGCTTTTTAATCCAAGAACCTCTTCAAAGTTTTTTAATGGACCATAGAGAACTGGCTTTCAGAATGTGGCTTGGTAGTTTCACAGACTCTGAGCCTTTTGTGTCAAGAAGTGCTTCTTATTCTCAGCCCTGAATATTTTGGCACTTCATTTGCATTTGTATCCATTTACCTCCTGTATTGTGGACTCTAATAGTGGGATAGATGGCAACGCAAATTTCTTTAGAAATGTAAAAAACCATAAGGGACAAGAATATAAATGAAAAACAAAATAGGTTAGTTTAGCCAGCCCCTGAATTCCTAATGATGTAGTAAAATGAAAAACAGGAGTAAAATGCTCAAGGCAAATGCTGTTAAGATTAATTAATTTTCCTTTCTCTCTCCCTTGCTGTGTATGTAGCCTGAAGTCCAGCTGGCTGAGGACTATGATGTCTACATACCAAAATCCCAGCTGGATTCCATCCTTGTAAATTACACCCGTTCCGGAAGCTTGCTGTTCAGGAAGCTGGTGTGTGCGTTCTTCGACGACACAACGCTAGCCAACTCTCTCCCCAATGGCAAGAGGAAGAGAGGCCTAAATGACAACAGAAAAGGGCTGGATCAGAATATTGTGGGAGCTATTAAAGGTAGGTTGTTTTTTAGACACAGTGCTGTTTCTTGTAGACAAGACCGGGAAATCAATGGAAGAATGATATATAAAAAACAAAGCCGCTCCATGTGGAAAAGTAGTATTTAATGTTGGAAAGCACTACAAAAAAATAAAAAATGTTTTAAATGGATTGCAATATACTCTATTCTTTTACCAAAACTATTTTCCAGTATATTGTAGAATGAATAGTTGTTTTTGTAACATATTCTGTGTAAAACACAGAATAATTTCTGAATCCTCTGTGAAAATTCGGTGAAAACTACAGAAACATCTCACATAGTGCAATATGCTGAATATGGAATTTCATCCAGTTTGACCTTTAAACAGGTTGTTGTACATTAGTGAATTTGTTGTCGCCATCAAATTTATTTACAGTAGGTAAAAAAATTAAAGTGATTTGCATAAATTCTAGTTGTGTAACTGAAAGATATAAAATAGAGACTGTGCTTTATGAGAAAAAAAATATTGCATTACCTAGATCACAAAATCAAATTTCATTTTTTGACAATGGTATTTGGGGACCCTTGCATTAGTATTTTTGATTAATCTTTGCTTCCTTCAAAACTTGGTTAGTAGCATCTTTCCAGGGATTCAATTTTGGACCTGAGATGGTTATTCCATAGCTACTATCCTTTTGGCAGAAAGTATTTTATAGAAGTTAAGGAATATTATCTCACTAGAATAAACCTCCTGTCAAACAAGCAGTCTAACACTGAATAAGGTTGTAGAGAAAACCGGTTCAGGGACGCCAAATAACGTAGATTATAGTGGCTCTCTGAAGGCACCAGTTCTGTAGGGTTTGGGCATTTACTGAGACAATTATTAATTGTAGCAGTAAATCACAAAGTTGATTCTTTTGGTGGCTTTAGAATCCAACCATGCGATATAACTCAAACAACGCACACACACAGGTACTAATACACGAGGATACATTTATTAATACATAGAATATGCATATAAACCTAACAGATCTTATCGAGAGGGTTATCAGAATACAAAAGGTATATTCGGTCAGTTACAAAGAGTTACACATCAAGAGGAAATACGTTCAGTATATCATTCATTAAGACCGTTTCGTAAAGTGAACTTGGTTACAACTTCTACATTAGATACTCAAACAAGTACATAACTCTTAGGAATTAAATTGATATCAACTGGTTGGGATAACAATTGAATTCTCGAGTTGTAATGCATTGAAGTTGAATACTCATCCAATCTCTGGGGATTCAGATCTCCTGCGGGCACAAAGAAACAGTTGCAGGCTGTTGTTGTCCAATCCGCGCTCTCTGGCTCCGTGCCAGGCTGTGATGTGCGGCTTGCGACGGTGCGCTGCTGATGCTCACTGTTGGCTTTAACTAGCAAAGTTTGTGCACAGGAGAAAAGATGACTGTGGGTCCCAGCAAGTCAGGAAGAGGACCAGTTCGTTTATGATGAAGAGCTAGTTCTGAATAGTGATTCAGCTGTCCACAGTTCCGACCTGTTCACGAGGCCTGCTGCTGGTTACTCTCTGGCAACCTCCACTCTAGACTCTTAGAACAAAGGAAAGTTCTGGCACTCGGACACACTGGCCGTTCCGTGGTTGTCCGGGCTGAGTCTCAGGATGGTCAGGAGGCGCGCTGTGAGAATGTCCTGCCCTTGGGAGCCTTCTGCTCCTGGGCCGTCCTGCCCTGGAATTCTCCTGTTGAATCTGAATCTCAATCTTGTCGAATCTCTCAGGCTCTCTGTGTTGCCTGTTTTTACCTGGAGGAACTTCAGCTCATTGATTGGCTGAAAGTTCCATGGGCATCAGAGTCCCACGTGGGTTACTCGGCCCTACCAGTCCCTGATTGGTTGATCAAGGTGAGATATGAGTCACTTAGTCCTGACACTTAGTAATGCAGTCCAGATGTCCAACTCGCACTCCCTAGACAGATAGGCACCAATGGATGACCATTGATCATGATAGCCAGGCTTAGCTAAATGCATCCCCCTTTGGGAGCTGTCCTTGGACCTTAAATCACCTTGCATGAATGGTTTCTCTGTGGCTGCACCACAGAGATGAACAGAGAAATGAGGCCTAATTGGGAAAGCTCAGAAACACTTAATTCTGCCTTATTATTAAGCCTCGCCACTACAAGGTCCAGGGCAGAAATTTGCAGTGTTGATCCATGTACAATACAGAGGTAACACTGCCAAGACAAATAAAGAAAACAAATACTGTACCATACCAACACACAATCAACATACAACCTCTAATTTTTTATAAGGTTATTTAATTAATCTTATCTCTTCATTTGAACATATTGGACCTTTTTTGGTAAAAAAAAAGCTTTACTTTTGATCCATCTGACCATTAAATGGAGTTAACTAAATTTGTATGTCAAACAGAAATCTTTCTTTTTTGTGTCATTTTTAACAAAGGCTCACAGTTTTCACTCACAAACATTTTCTTCCTGTTAAGATATCAGATATCGGATATGCTTGTTTTGAGGATGATTTTCTATGTTTACTTGTTTCTTATGTCATTTTTTAAGTCAGATTCTAAGGATTTTTCCTGGCTGCTCAAACAATTCTTCTTTTTCACCCTCTGGCTAATCAGATTTGTTAGTAGTAGCATATCCTTCAAAGTGTTTTCTTGCCATTCCTACTATAGTTGTTCTGCTATTTTTGGGCCACTTCTCCTTCCCATTGAGATGTTGTAGATTGATCAGAAGGCTGCTGCTACAAAGAGGAAACCAAAGGCGACTGCAGAAATCAAAGGTGTACTGTATGTGCTGAAGAATAGGCAACAAATCTCTGGAAACTGAATCTAAAATACAAGAATTCCCTACTTTATTTACAAGCTGCAAATCAAGCAAAAGGTGCCAAAAAACACTAAGAGTATGAAATTAAAAACAATTTCTGTAACATTGTGTTGTTTAAGCAGGATCACTGTGTTGGCAGTGAGGAGAGGTGGTAAGGGCTCTGGACTCCTAATTGGAACTACGGGTTCACAGTCCCAGGTGGAGACACAACTGCTGTATTAGCAGTATCACCTGCATACATTAAATCCAAAACTTTGTATTTTTTAAACAACAAGGTACTTGAAGTTTGTGTGAATTACTTTGAATAATGTTAAATAAGTGAATAATAATGAAATCATATCTTTCAGTGATACAGACACTTCATTTGTGGGTTTACACATATGTTTCAACTGCCCATATATTAATTTAAGTTTATCCCACATACTGTATTATGTCCATTCATATACTAGTATGAGACAAGTATCATAACTATTCTATTGGTGAATTACACTATTTTGCAGAAACATGGTCCTAGCAGAAATTCCAATCTAAACGTAGTGTCCGATAAGTAACTCTAAAATAATTGTCATCTGTGGCTGAGTCTGAGTTTTTTCTCATCTTGCCTTCCGATTAATAGTGTAATTTGCACTTCAAGGAACATGTTAACTCATTGGTGAAATGCGTCACATAAACCTATATTCAGTACAATATCAAAAAGCTGGGTCTTTCAATTAGATCATTAAAACTACCCAGTTATTTATGTATATTTTGGTACACCCGGAGGCAGGTATCAGGGATTTTTAATTAGGCTGGAACATATAAATATGGCCATCAGGTAAAAATTGTTGTTTTTTTTATTTATAGTAAGGAAAGACAAATACAGACCAATCTCTAGCTGTTATTTGTGAAGAAAGCTCAACAGATGAAACATTGTTTCTCCTGTCTAATTTTCAGCATGGAATTAACCTCTATTAACCCATATTTGCATTATTCATTTTAACAACATAAGAAATTTTATGAAGGCTAAAAAAGGTTCAACAGCCGATACGTTGTGTTTCTCCTAGTTTTCAGCGTGGAATTAACCTTTATTTGCGCTATTCATTTTAGCAACATAAGTAAGGTTGCAAAGAAGAGAAGATTGCTTGGTCTTTTTAGTTTGTGTGATCACCAGTAGCTAAGTGATCGTGAAGAAGTGTCTTATCCAGCCATTTTTTGAAAGAACCAAGAGGTCACCTTCAACACCACAGCTGAGTAGCTTGTCGCAGACTCCATAACCCTTTGTATAAAAAGAGGGCTCCTCTTCTCAGTCTTTAATGAACTTCCCCTAATTTCTACTTTCATTAGGGAAATAATTCATTCTTATTTATTTTTAGATTTCTGCCAGAATCGTCTTTGGCCCTGTTAAGTTCTGTTGTCTGAATTAGTTTTTCTTCTTTAAGCAGACTATTAAGGTTTTCATAGGCCACTAACAAAATATGTTTTTTGTTTTGCCTTGATTGAAGTGCATTTGTACTGATCTCTAAAATGTAAAACAGTCTTCACAGAGAAGTATTGCACTGCGAACAGAATTGAGAAACTCCCGGGACCAAGAGATTGGGTACAAATTCTTCAGGACCAGATTAAACTGGCCAGGAGACGGTTAAAGAGAGGAAATTGTGGTAAGTCTAATACATGTACCGATGTACAGTATAACATCTTGATTTGCCATGAGAAAAAAGCTGTATTGACCCACAGTATACTAAAGTATATTATTCCAATGGATGAATTTTTAAGCTCTGAGCAGTAGTGAAACCCAGTTACATACAGTAATGGTGTACAAATGACAAATGCCTTTATTTTCCTATTAGTTTATTTCTTGTTGTTTACCTCATCTTGTATATGAAAACGACATAATGTATTGTTCTGTTTTTGTAGAATATAGTTTTCTAAGTAACAGTTTTACAAAATAATAAAAGCTATTTACTTACAGTACATTGGGTGTAAGAGAAAAAGAGAAGTACTGGTTTGTATGTCCTTTAGACACTTGGCATATTTAATTTCCTCATTGCTTTGGCCAGTCTTTTCAGAAAATAGGACAGTTAAGAGGCCAATTGAAGAATAGTTGAGAATTATAGAATGTTAATATAGCTGTAAAAGGAAAGAAACATCACATAAAATAACAGGAAAATGCAAAAAATCAAAAGAGCTTTCAATCTTTCAATGTCCTGCACACAGAAAAAAAAAATGGTTCCACACAGAAAAAAATGACTATTTCATTCTCTGTTACGCAAAGACTCTACTGTTTATGAGTCAGAAAATTTTTACATCGATTCACTTGCCTGTTCCTAAGGTTCATGGTTCATTTGGAGATTCATAGCCACTGTTAACTAAATTCATGTTACTGTACATACCTACTACTATGTAGCTGAAAAGGCCAATTTCATCATATAACACTCTACTGTAGAACAAAACAGCATTTTCAGATGCTGTACCAGGGACTGGCAACTCCACTCCTCCAGGGTCCCCTGGCTTTCAGTGCACCTTGGATTTTAATGACGCAATTGAAAAAAAATTGTAACACCTCCTGGAATGCATCACTAATGGACTGCCTTTGCCAGTCCCTGTGTTATATGACTTGAGTTTATGTTGATTCAGAAGTATCTGTTTTCTGGGTTTTCATTACCTCATTCTGCTTCCATCATATTTGTTCAGCAGAAATTGTCGACTGTGACGAAATTGTGAACAGGAGTTCCCAAAGCACGACAGGTAGTTCGTTTATTTGTTTGGCATTTTTCATTACTGTGATTAAATTATGTCAGCCAGTTTAAGACTCAGATCAAATAGAAACCCCCACTCGTTTACCATAAGCAAATTCCAAATATGATGTCACTTGGTGATGGCTTTCATTTTTCTGGAAAATTCCTGCATCTTCCTAGTGGAAAGTTGGCATCAAGGTATTTTCAGCTGATGGGTATGTGAATGTTAATCTGGCCCCAAATTTAGTTCTTTTTATTCTCCTTGTAGGATCTAGCATAAAGACTAAAATTAAATAGTTATATCTTCCCTATTCTGCCACCTTGACCCTGTATGTCACACAATTTAAATCAAAATAAGTTCTAGGCACACATATATGTTTTGGACTTGCTTAGGACTAGTGATGGCTGATGTCCAATGACTGTTGTGCTTGCAAATGTCAGCTGCTCCTTTCCAGAGACTGCTCTCCTTTTATTATGGATGTCTGACTGTGCTGCTATTGAACTTGTTGTTCATTTCCAGTTTTTCAAATCTGACATTGTATTCTAACAGATTTTGTCTTTAGTGCACCAAACATATTTTGTATTTAATGTCTTTAATATAACACTTTTAGATTTATTTAGAATTATGTGAGACCCCATAATGTCAAATATACAAACAGACTGTGGATCACGCCTGGATCTTTATCAAAGCTGTGCTTTCAGGAGAGGGTAAGGGGGGATGATTGTTGATGATTACATGCATCTGTGATATAGTGGGAGAGAAAGTTTGCATTTTGTTCTTCAAATACAACACTACTTTGGTTTCTAAAACAAAGCTGAATTCACTCTATCAAAGCTCCATTACATTCTTGCAAAATGTAGCAATTATAAAACCATATCTATTAAATTGATTATTAATGTTAGAATGCTATAAGAATAATAAATAAGGCTGCACTGTTCTGCTGAGAGATTGCTTGGTGAGAACTAGTATAGCAACTCATATTTTTCTTCGGTAATGGCTGCTAACATACAGTATAGATTCCAAGATTTGGGACACGTTCTTGTACACTATATCACCTGTTTTGCCTTGCTTGTGAGGAGCACACAAGTAGAGATGAACACTCTTATAGCCTTTAGCCACATGATACCAAAGCCCAGAAACTGTCAGAATTCCCCAGAGCATATAGGATTATCATTAAAACTAAACCAAACAAAAAAGCCTCTTATAGGCTTTCTTAGGCCTTTTTTTTTTCAAAATGTTCCTCACCTTTTTGTAATTAATTGTTTTCAATAGCAGAAGATTAAAAAGAAGTCAACACCAGAACAGAAAATATAATTCATGAAGGCAGCTTAATTACACATGCAGTTGCTGGGTGTTTTGCCAGCAGACACTGCAATGCTGAGAAGTGAATCAATTAGTCAGTGTGCGTACCCTGCAGCCTCCTGCAATTGTTTGTGTTTCAGGTACAGAGCTTCCAGAATCCATTCATAATGAAGAAGGTCTGTATTAGGCTTTTTCCAAATACAAACACACATGTATGTGTGAACACTAAAATATAGTCAGTGTTAAAAATTTAGCACTGAGTAGCTACTGTAGATATAGGTTTGTTTGGCTTTGTATTATTTCTGTGATACGGTATATTCATTCACTTTAATTCATTTGTTTTCTTTTTTTCTATCAACAGAGGATCTTGAGTGTTCTAAAGAAAAAGATGACAGTTTTGTGAAAGGTATTATACTTAATCTACCAATATTTATGATTAAATTAATGTTAAATCTAATAAGGGGAGAAAATGTGTATCTGTGAAGATGACTTTGCATGTAATACAAAAACTAAGGTCGAGGTCAAATCAAAATGTTGAGTCACCTGCCGACTGCAAATTACAAATCTAGCACTTAATTCATCCATTCTTAATAAAAAGCACAAAAGGGTACTGGGTTTGTATTTTTCAATTGGCTGGTGCGTGGTTAAAATATTTAATTTAATCAGAGCCAAGTTTGCATATTGTTTTACTGTTTAAATACAGGTATAGACATATAGACTCACTAGGCTAAATCGTTACAATTATTTTACGTATGTGTGCTGACAAATCTATTATTTTTTAGGCCTTTTTTCTGCAAAGGAGTTTGACAAGCTATAGGAACAATTGGTTCTGAAACATTGCAACCTTAGAACCATGTCATTTTTGAAACATTTTTGAAACATATTATTTTTTAACCGTTGCTTTCATTCCATGTTATGCTTGGCCACAGCTAACATGTTTAAAAGGCTCATTCATTCATTTAAAAGGTCAGCCTGTCAGCTCATACAATATTATTTATTTGAAAATGTGAGTGTAATTCAGTGTTAGGGGCTGTTGCACTTTATTGCTCTATGTGGATATGGCTTGCATTAGTAGATGCTTTTCTGCAATACTGGAATTGTTAGTGCAGAAGAAAATTGTATTAAGTCACCAATAGTTGGTACTTGCTTGGTGCTTCAAAGCACACAGTCAGGCTAGTGAGAACAAGGCACTTGAAGGCACATTCATAGCAACAGCCCTAATTTATTCAACAGCATCCTCATTACCTTTGAAAATTAATGATTGTACTGTACATATCACCCATCTAGTTGTGACTGCTGTTTATGCATTTGCTTGCAAGAAGATATACATTTATTATTGTAAATTTCTCCTGAATTATATAGGATGAGCTTTAGAAAAATAGGATTTTTTGACAGTATGCAAAATAATTTCTTATTATACTGTGGTAGGAAAATTAAAATAATGTATGTCATTTTAATAAACATTTTGTGTATTTTTAGGTTGTGTTGTTGAGAAGAGCACAGAAGACTCTGAGCGTGATATAAAAAAGGACGTCACAGCTTAAACTTAATCTTTGCTACCAAATAACAATAGCCTTGCAATGGCGATAAGTCATAGTGGGTCTACTAACTTTATCCAGTGAGACACTTTTAATTCCATTGTTTAGAAAGCTTCTAGTTCTCTTTTGTGAGACAAATTAGTTTTGTGGTTGTAGTAAAATTATTACCAAAGTAGCCAACTTTGAAAGTCTATTTTGCTCTCTTGTTATATCTGCAAAATTACATGGCTATGTGGAGTTGTGTTTTTGCAACTCAGTGATCTTTTGCTTAGTCAATACTGTGGATCTATGGTTTTGAGATGGAGCTGAATTAAGAAAATACTCATGATCTCTTTGGACTTCCCATGTTATAACCAGGTCCTAAAGCACTTGTTTTGTTAAATATCATGTCAGCCTTTTCCACTGTTGATCATGTCATTGTGCTAAAACATCTGTAGTTCCACTTTGGTCTTTCTGGAAAAACTCAGAATGGTGTACTTTGTGTGTATTTCATGGTCATACAGTATATCTAATTACACCAACTAACTTCAACTTCAAACTAGGTGCTGTACAGTCTGGTATTTCCCAGAGCTCTACTTTGGGCCTTTTGCTATTAAATGTATAAATGTTACCTATTAAGGTCATAAAAAAATTTGGTGATTACTTTTATATTTGTAATACACAAGTCTGTGCATTCCTTCCAGCCCAATCATGCATGGCAATAACTACCCTCAGAGAAATTAAATTTAGTAATGGATGGCTACAAACTTCAAATAACTGAAAATAAACCGTGATAAAAGAGATGTACGGTCAAGTGTCTTCAAATCAGAATTTGTCAAACTTGACCACATTAGAATTACTTTCAAAGGGAGACACCTGAGCGATAACTATAATTATCTTATTTCTGTTATTAGAACTGCATTTCCAATTTGAGCACTTTAGCCAAGCTAAAGTTTGTGCGAAACAAAAAAAAATCAGAGAGATTAGTACATGTATTTGTATCTTAAAATGACTCCTCAAATGCCTCATCTGTTTTCATTTGTTAATTATATTTTTATCAAAGAACCTTTCTTCATATTTCATAAAAAACATCCCTTATTTACTGTAAAACTTCACTCCTAAACATGTAATGCATCTTAATAATATGTCGTTTTCTAAATGTGGCTATAGTTCTGTACATGTTCTCTTTTAATACGACAAAAGTCAAAAGTGAAAACACCGACACATTTTGGAATGAACATTCTTCTATAACTGGTTTGGATCAGGAGTGCATCATATTTGTGGACTGTATTGCTTTGTTCTTAATTCTGTATGGGATGGGTTGACCTGATGAACGCTATAAACAGTATATACAGTATAGAGGGTGTTTCAGTAAATAAAGTAAAAAGACCTCCCGCAGCCAAAAATGAGTTTTGAATAGGAGAAGCACTCTACCGCCTTTTATGTGTTTGGTTTTGAGACTACATGAGTCACAAGTCTTAGTACTGTACAGTACCTCCAAGTATTAGGATAAAAATGGCATGCTTTGTGCAGTAGTAGTTGAAAACTGAAATGCACTGAGTGATTGAACTTTAGCAAGAAAGAGCGTGACACAGTTGTACTTCTATGCCCACCTATGAAGACATACCAACCTCATGCTAAATCATGCAAAGAGATGTCAGTGCCATGCAGTGCCTCCAATAATGGCAAGACAGCTGCTCATAATGAGCAGTGACCTGGATGGCCAAAGATCTCCTACACAGTTGAGAATGTTTGCTGCGATTTAAGTACTGCTCTGGGCACAATATTGCCCATAGGTACTGGTGTACTGCAAAATCTACAACAGATATACTGTATACTGAAGCAGTTCACACATGTACACTGGTTTACTAAGATGAGGCTGTCTTTAATGTTTTTTCAACGTTGCCATGGAAAAGGTGGGCACACGAACAACTGCTCCCATTACCATGTACAGTGTTACAGATGTGATGGTTGAGGGATTTCCCTGCCCATTCATCTCCACCATTCACCATCATCCCGTGAAGAAGCCGGCTGTGCAGCACATAATTTGCAAATGATGTGCTCAAATCTTGACTCGAGGGACATAGCCTTCTGCTGAACCAGACCAGAATTTAGGCTTTGGTATCAAGGATGGGAAGCCCAAACAGTTGTGAGGAAAAGTTATGTGGAACATGCTCCTGTTATTATTAGTTACATCTCTAGCTATATATGAGTAAATGAAATATCATGTGAGCACCTTGTTACCCTATTTATTGAAGAACCCTTTTGTATAAGAAGGGTGTATACTGTAGGTCGGAGATTGTGATGACCACAACCGATTGACAGATGAATCATTGGTTGTGTTAAACATTGATGCTTATTGTAATGTAATGAAAAAGAAATGATTGTTTGGAGATCAGTTCAATATCATGAGATGGATGATGGTGAATACTGGTGTCACACAAATATGTGGAAATGTGAAACGCTTTAAAAAGACTTTGACCAATTACAGGGTTTAACTGCTGTTTGGGGGGAAAAAACTTTTGATTTTTTGTTTTAATATTATATGTGAGGAAAAATAAAATACAGTTTACATTTGTTCAACAGATGTACGTTTTCAGCACTCAAGCTGTGTATCATAAGTATGTGTCGTAAGAAGGAACCTGTGATTTTATTCCATTCTCTCTGAATATAAAACGTTACAGTACTGCCTACAAATAATTTAAGCCCTCTTAGATACAGGGGTGTTGAAGACAATAGGCATGTACAGTATCTATTGTAATCAGGTATACTCTATAAGCATAAAATTCTAACTTAGGTGTGTGAAATGAATGTGCCATATGTTATGTATATATATAAAAGTACTTTGATCCTTTTATACACACACATATATATAAGTATATACTGTGTATACTTCAGTACAAGTATAGTACACGTACAAGTAAAAGGATAGAATATATTTTAAAAAGTATTTTAATCACATACTGTACTAAGATTGTGCTTATAATGTTATACTGTATTTTAAGATTTTCTCCTGCTAAAGCCACATTCTTCCTTTTATTTTGTAAGTGAATTTGAGCCTTATTGTACTTATTTTTTTCTTATTTAAGAAAATGTACAGAAAATGATAGTGGAAAATAACAGAATTATTATATCTATATTGTAGTACAGTTTGGAGGAACATAGATTTAATATCAGAAATGGGTACAATATATTTCTTTTCAGTTAACTTTTACATGACTATTTTTTCTTTCTACATTTTTTATATTTTAGGTACTGAGCTGCTAAAAACATTAAAGGCATATCAAGCTTTTTATCTGCAGCCAATTCCTAAAAATTCAGTATTGGTTAATATACAGAATTTCACTGGGTCTTAATATATTGATCTTAGAAAGAGTCATGGTGGGGTTCTCCAGAGTGTGTGTCTCCCATGTGAGTTGGGAACACTTTTGGTGAAGCATGTTTGACACTTGTTTTCATTGTGTGGTTTAGGAACTCTGAGACGTGCTCAAAACGGTGGTCCAACCACGTATAATACATACTGCACAAATAATGTGATCAAGATCACAGACAGCCAGAACTGTAAAGTTAACAGGAGGTACAACAGTGGATAATGTTTAGCAGCCAATTATTGTATTTGTGCTTAAATAGGCCATACAGCTGTATTGTACTAAGCTTCCCAATACTTTGTGCCTTTTCACATTCAAATAACATATTTTACCTCACTAAAATATTTCCTGTGTATTTATTTTGATGTCAGTGACCTACTCTATTAATATGTGGTATGACGGCACAGTGGTTAGCTTTGTTGCCTCGCAGTGCTGGGGCCCTGGGTTCAATTCCGTTCCTGGAGTGCTGTCTGTGGAGTTTGCGTGTTTTCTCCGTGTTTGTGTGGGTTTCCTCTGGGTGCTCTGGTTTCGTCCCACAGTCCTAAAACATACTGGTAAGTTAACAGGCTTCTGGGACAATTGGCCCTGGTGCGAGAGTGTGTTTGTCCGTGTGTGTGGCGTCTTATCCAGGTTGTACCTTGCCTTGCACCCGTTGCTTGCCGGGATAGGCTCTGGCTGCTCTGTGACTCTGCACTGGATGCAGCAGTTAGAAAATGGATGGATAATGTGTCAATATGTTCAATTTCAGTAGTTTTGTCAAACTCTAAGGCTTTAGGATTCTCATACTATTGTCATACACTATATATCATATACTGTACTGTTGTACAGTAGTTCAGGTGGGTAGCTGCATCAGCATGCGTAGGCTGTGAAGGAACAAGTAATAGGTTTATTCCATGCTGAAAAAAAGAAGAAAGAAAACACAACGTTTCAGCTGTTGAGCCTTCTTCAGGTGTGAGCATACTGTACTGTATAGTATATGCATAATAATTCACAAAGTGAGGCTATGAGCGGGGTAGTTCACCTGGCTGAGAGGGATGACAACCCATCCATAAGGACTGTCAGAACTTCCCGTCCCCTTTACTGAAGGATGAACCGGATGGATGAAGGGATATGAAAACTAAATACACAAGCAAGTGAGCCAGAAACTTGATATTTACTGCACATGTAGGCACATGAGCGAGATTAGAGTTTAACCTCCTCCTGAACTTGTTTTAAACTCCATATATTTAAAAAATGTAAAAGTCAGTCAATGATATCCTCAATGCTGTGTGACTAGAGTGCAAGATACTGTATATCTAGGTATATAGACAGCATTACAATTTTAATTTATTCATTTTATATTTATTTTAGCCTTCTATTTTAAAGAGGTAAATATGCAAATCATTGTTTATATTTGCATATGTATGCATTTGCAACTCAAATTATGAAGTGAATTATTATTAAGTTATTTTGTAAATATTTTTAAAAATGCTTTAGCCTAAAATATTGGTGTGATATTGTATGCCAGAGGAGCTCAAACTGTTATTGAGAGACTTCATGCTTCTGATGTAGTGCAGAAACTGGCTGAATAATGTAGTACTAATTCATGGGTCCATACTGTATATGCAGTAAGAACGAATATAAACACTTTTGATACGACAGTAAGGATGCTGTAAAGAAATTTTCCATCAGGACAATGAGAAAAAAGAAAAAGTTTTGTTTTCATTAAACTAATTTGGTCAGGTAAGTTCTGATGTGTTTTTGCTTTGGTACAGTTGAAAATATATGCTAACAATGTTTATATAATAATTTTAATAGGTAATGTCATAAGAAAGATTACAAATGAGAGGAGGCCATTAGTCTCATCTAGCCTAATGTCTGCAACCTACTACCGAGCACAATAGGACATTACATTTGGTAGATGTACAGTATGACTGTTTGGGTATTTTACAACTTGTAATAAAAGATGGCAACAAGATGTAGACAAATCACATGAGATTTAAAGAAGGCATCTAGGAATGCAAATGTAGAAAAGTCTTGAAGAACTGACTTCACGGAATTGTCTAAAGAGAAGTTTGAGCACATCCACTATTAAATGCCCATTTATTCTAGGTAAAATGTGAATGTTTTACAAGATGTCTGAATATACACTTGTAGCAAAAACCCATGAGCATGTGAATAGTTTGACTTAGTTTAGTACAATTGAGAGAGAATGATCAACATTGCATGAATGTGTATAAAAGACTTCCAGACAACAAACGCAAATGATACCCTCTTCTGAAAAATCATATTTACTGTATATATGAAGAGGGCATCATTTCACACCGTTTTAGCAGTCAATTGCTCTTTTATTTCTTTCCATCAAGTTTCCATCACGAAGATTAGTCTGCCAAAGCATTCTTGTTATTCACTCACCTGTCAAGCTCTTTCAGCATTAATGTGGGCATGTTGTGCTTGTTTTTGGTTTCTGGATTGGTTTAGTCTAGCTCCGTGTTTACAGTTATTACCATGCTGAGATGTGAAGCCGTTCAGCCACAAGTCAGAAGTCAAATCCAAAAAGCTTCTTCTTTCCAACAGAACAATTCCATGTAAAACATTACAAGAAAATAATAAATGTAGCATTGCCTGAGTAATTGATCAGTTTCACTGGTGAACTGTTGAATTATACGTATTTCTCATTGTTATGTTAATGGTATTGAGACATTGTATTTTTTATTGAGCACAATGACCATCTATATAGTAATTCCAGTCTTTTGATAAATGTTATAACCTCAATATGGTTTCAGCATTGTTAGAAATATTATATTACAAATATTATCTTATACTGTACCTTCTATACACTTTAGTATATGTTAAGAAAGAAGCTTCTCTATATGGCTAGAGGTGATATACATTTCATTTTTGAATATCACAACATGTATTCTAGTAGCACAAATGCCATCAGACAAATCTCTGCTCTGGATATTTCACAGGTCTTAACTTCACCTTGGGCTGCATGTTATTTGAAGAAGTTAAGGTATTGGATGAAACTGTCATTTTAGCAGTAAAAGAATGAAAATACTTGGTATAGTTAAATGTAAATGAATACACTCTTTTTCTACTGTTAGCTTTATTTGACTAATTCAAAGAGCACAATTAAAAAAAAAGCTTTGCAATGTTGGTGATAGCACATGGGCTGGCAAAGTTATCGAACATCATGAAATAATACTTTGGCAGCTCAAGTAGTTTACTGCAATGCAAAAATGAACATACACAACATCTGCAGCAGCTGTTCCTGCCTTGCCACATTTTGTTTCTTAACTCTCTTATTCATTGAGGTTGTTTTAAATACTTACTGTTTGTATTCATTTACACAGCATACATGACAAATGGGTAATAATTTTAGCAAACAGTTCTATGTCAGATGTGCTAAAAGAAAGCTCTGTAGAAAAGGAAATGTTAAAGGTTTACATGTGTCTTTGACATCCTCATCTTTATGGAACAGAAACCTTTGAACATTTGACTTGCTGTCTAAGATTTTCCTGTTCCCATATGCAGCATGTTTGTATTTTTTATTCACTTTTTTTGGCATTGGTTCCTCAGGATCTGATGGTGCCAGATTGCCTGCTCTTTCAGTTCTCCTGCTGGGTCTGTCCATACTGCTGTTCTCTCACATGAGCCAAACAAAAATGACAGTTTGCGTCAGTCAGAACAAAAGGATTTTCAAAAGTTTAGTGCTTTGGAAAGTATATTTGCGTTCCCTTGTTCTATTTTTGATTACACTTTTACATCACTCTTACCACTGATAGAGACACCTTAACAACACATTTCTCCATGAAACCCTTACTGACACAGATGTTTCTTTTGTGTGTTTCTGCAGTGTTATGTTATGGCATTAATTCATTGTTTAAAGAAATATTGGGAGGGCTTCCTGAAGCTTCAGGCTTTATGTACAGTAGCTTGCCTGAAGTTAATTATTAAGTTATGTCCAAAAGATATAACTGCTACACATGTGTTTGTAACATTTGGCTAACTACAGTATATATTACCATGTTTTAGGTTCAGAACTATGGATAGGGTAAGAACTGGAGCTGGGGGTGGGATGGGGGTTAGGATTTGGGCTATACTGAAAACATATGCACTTGATATGTCTTTCGGAAGAATAGTCATAAAGAGTTATGAATGTGGTGACAACATGATATTGCAGTATATTGTCTCCAAGAAAGTATTATACAGTCTACAGATTGACCAATTCAAACGATGTAGTACAGAAGAAAAAAAACATTAGAGAAAAAAAGCATTTGATATATTTCTTTTATTTCTAGAATTTAAACTTTCCAGACCAGAAAGTATTGACATATAGGGAAACAACATATATATATACTCTTTCCCCATAAACACAATGTAAATATGGAGGGTTTGAGTCTGTAAGGGCACAAGTGTGGGAGGCATTTCTGGTAAGAATTAATGGAGTTGGGTTAGGACCATAAGTTAGATGTGTTTCACTTGTAGCTAATGAAATATATTACAGAGGATCCTGTTATATGTCCAGGTTACATTCCAAAATAATGCAACATGTTGTGCATTGACTTAGAAAAGAGAATTAATATCCATATGGAATAATTTAATTACAGTACATTCCCAACCTTCAGTATGGTTC